ATCATTTTCGGTCAAAATCGAGTCCACCGGGTCAATACGGGTCCCACAATGTCGACCGGGATGAAAAATGAGTTTCGGACCATTTCGGGTCAAAACCGTCATTTTCGGTCAAACCGAGTCCACCGAGTCAATACGGGTCTCACTAAGTCGACCGGAATGAAAAATAAGTTTCGGGCCATTTCGGGTGTAAACCATCATTTTCGGTCAAAACCAAGTCCACAGGGTCAATGCGGGTCCCACAATGTCCATCGGGATAAAAAAATGAGTTTCAAGCTATTTTTGGTCAAAATTGTTATTTTTGGTCAAAAAACCTGGTCCTTCGAGTTGATATCCATATAAAGATTTTTTCGGTAATTAAAATTGATTTTTAGCGGTTGAAAAGCTTTTCCTAATATTGATTTGATTTTTTAATTTTACCTCTATAAATAAATATTATTATTATATATAATAAAAAAAATATAATTTTACCATAGTAGGCGGCGGATTTTTGCCGACGGTAGGTGGTGCAGCTGTACATTGAAAATTCTGCACAACTCGTGATTCCATGTCCCTTCTTCATTGGCTGTAAATAGCCAATGAAAGTATGTCAGAAAGGAGAGAAAAGAAGAGAAATTCGAATCCGATAGCTTACTATTTGTGTTCAGTTATTTTTCTACCTTTTCTTCACGCGAGTAAGATATTGATTTTTTTTTAAACAATTTGAAAAATATTAAAAATATCCTAACCGTAAGATCTAATAGTGTTTAAATCTGAGCCTTTGATTTTTTAGGATACAATAGACTTTACCACACCGGACTAAAACCCAAATTCATCTCAGCCTTTAAAATAATCTTCCCTTCAATCCTGTTGCACCACGTCATCAGGTGTACCAAACACCTCGTACACCGCGCCACACCGGAACAAAACTCAGCCCATCCGGACCGTCCGATCAACTTACAGATCAAGCCTATCACAGCCGCACGATCCGTTCATCTACGATCCAACGGTTCACAGTCTTCAGATGCACTGGTGCATCATGCTTGCATTCACACCATAACAAAATCTCAGAGCCTCTTTCTCCTCTCGCTTGCAATTCTCTCTCTCTCCTCCGATCTTCCATTTCCGGCCGTTTTAAGCTGCCAAACTACCACATAAAGGTGCATCGTCCCCTCTGAAGCAAAACCCTGGCCGTTTTACGCGTTTTCACAACCGAATCTGGCCGGAAAAAGGTCGCGATAGTCATTGGTCATTGAAGCTTCAAACCGACAATTCTCCCTCGTCAGCAATCAACGGTCGTCAAGACCACCACCATCAGAATCCTCGTCCTCAGATATACCAGAATCAATCATTTTATTGGTCGGAAGCTCGCCGGGAAATTTCACCGCCTCCAACAGTAACAGCAAGTGAGGCACACGCGCTGCCAATGACATTTTCATAAATTTCTGGGAAATCCGAGGGTATTTCAGTCTTTTACCTATACAGTGGCACTTAGGTAATTGTTTATGGTATTTTTGATATTTTTATATATAAATACTTGTAAATTTTTTGCATGTAAAAAAACAAAAACAAACAAAAATAAATTTAAAATAAATAATGACCCGGGTCCAACACTCATTTTATCATGTCACTGTTCATGAGTTCAAAACCCCATTCTCAAGTATGGATATATCCATTTTTCAACTATATCAAAATAATTTTTATTTTATAAAATAAATATTATTTGTCGACACGTTTCTTTTATTTACAGAAAAGGACCGATGTCAAAAATTTAAAATAACAAATATGGATTATGTCCATTATTATTTCTTTTGGTAAATCAGACGTAACTCTCATTTTTAGGGACAAACCTCGACATTTTAGACAAATTCTCCTAATTTTAGGGACTGATGTCATTTTTAACGTATCTTTTATTTTTAGGAACCGACGTTAATCATCTTAAAAAATTTGCAAATAAGTTCAAAATATAATAGCATTTGAATCAAATAAAAAACACACAAGTAGGGATAACCTTTCTCTAAAAGGATGTTTTAAAGGTTGTATTTACTTTCTCTTAATCATAACTAACCCAGTATCTGAATCTCTGGGACCAATATCTAATTTTGAATTTCTAGTTCCCTCAAATTACTAGATGATGACTTCAATAAAAATCTTTATTTTTTTTAATAAAAAAACTTATTTTTTTATTAAATAAATAAAAAAAATAGATCCGTTACCCGATCTGATGTAGCGATATCATAAATGATGTGAGCATCATTAGCAGCCTCGAATTTAAAGATGCTCTGCAGAAAACAAAATAATCTATAAATCAAATATCTCGAGAGGTGTTTGGGTGTCGACTTTTACGGTAGTTTTATTGAGGGTGGCGCCAAATTCATTAATTAACGTCTCCTCGAGCAAGCTTACCATTAGAAGGCTTGGTGAAAACCCTTTAAAATGATTGCTTTCCTCCATTTTTTACCTCACATTTTTAGCCAAATTAATCGTTTGTTCGGCCGAAGGAGGACGCTCGGTCTTTCCCCCCGACGATGCATCAATTTAGAAGATGTTAACCCGAGCAGAGCGCTTGCATACATTTGCACCAGTCCAAGATCGACCAGTCAGTACACTAAAAAATTAGCCCTTAGAAAAAGGCCCGTTTAACCTTAGGCCTTGGACTCAAACCAACAAAAGCATTGGGTCCAATTGATATAAAGGCCTTGGCTGGTTCTATTGGCGGAGGAGGTTGTTCATCTAAGGATTAATTTTATTTTTTATTTATTTTGGGAAATGTAGATTATCCTGAGCACAACAAACTTAAAAAATTTAAGTTTTTGTTAGAAAAAAAAATTCAAACTTGAGATCTGGAAGGGGTAAATCCTGAAAGCTCTTGTTGATATGCGTTGGACCAGCCTCTTGAGATTGATCTAAGGAGTTTGAAGAAGAGTTTTGTTTTTGTTTTTTTTTTTTAATTTAAAAAAGAAAGAAAAAAAAGGGATCAAACCCAGAAAAATAGAAAAACATGTAAATTTAGGCCAGTCTATGCCACGTCTGCACTCTTCATCCTGGTGCGTGACCTGGTTCCAAAATTGAAAAAAGAAACACGCAATTAGCAGATGACGAATCATTTGCGTGTGACAATGTGACGTCATCACTGCAACTTCTAAAGACATTTTACGGCTGAGGTGAAACGCAGTTTGCAACTTTGGTAAAGAAAGACATTAGTTTACAGTTTATTGTGCATGGATTACATGTAACTTTTACATGTAAAAAGTAGTTATTAAAAAGTAGATAAATACTGTTTTTTATTTATTATACATATTAATTATATTGTTTAGTAAATAATGTAATTCACTTGTATTATTTATATAATTTTTTTTATTCATTTAATTTTATTATATTTTTTAAGTGTTAATTTTATTAATATACTTTAATTTTATTAATTTTTTTAGTGTTATTAATATTTTTTTTATTAATATTCTTTTAAGTGTCAATTTTTTAATAGTT